GGGGAGGGATAGCATTAGCAGATATACCGAATGTAAATGACGAGTTAATGGGTGCAGCACACCAACATGGCACATGTGAACATATGTAACAAACCTGCACATTGTGCACATGTACCCTAGATCTTAAATTACAATAAAAAAATTAATTAATTTTTAAAAAAAGAAAATGGTATATACACAATGGAATACTATACAGCCATAAAAAGGAATCAGTTAACAGTATTTGCAGTGACCTGGATGAGACTGGAGACTATCATTCTAAGTTAAATAACTCAGCAATGGAAAACCAAATATTGCATGTTCTCACTGATATGTGGGGGCTAAACTATGAGGACGCAAAGACATAAGAATTAGGAAATGGACATTGTGGACTTGCAGGGAAGAGTGGGAGTGGGGCACAGGATAGAAGACTACAAATGTGGTGCAGTGTATGCTGCTTGGGTGATGGGTACACCAAAATCTCACAAATCACCACGAAAGAACTTACTCATGTAACCAAATACCACCTGTACCCCCAATAACTAAGGGAAAAATAAAATTTAAGTAATAATAAATAAAAGTACTTTGAAAAATTTTTTTTAAATCACTAGTGTTTCTAAACACCAATAACAGACTACCTGAAAAAGAAATGAAGCAAGCAATCCCATTTGAAATAGCTACAAAAAAAATGAATATCTAGGAATAAATTTAACCAAGGCAATAAAAGACCTGTACAATGAAAACAATAAAACACGGATGAAAGAAATTGAAGAGGATACAAAGAAATGGAAAGACATCCCACATTCTTGGACTGGAAGAATTAATATTGTTAAAATGACTGTACTACTACAGATGCAATGCAATTCCTAGTATGATACCAATGACATTCTTCACAGAAATAGAAAAAAAATTCTAAAATTTGTATGGAACCACAAAAGACCCCAAATAACCAAAGCAATACTGAGAAAAAAAAAAAAGAAGAAGAAGAAAAAAAAAAGCTGGAGGCATTACACTATCTGACTTCAAATATAGTACAAAGCTATAGTAATACTATGGTTTTGGCGTAAAAACAGACATACAGACTAATAGAACAGAATGGAGAACCCAGAGCTAAATCCACATGTTTACGGCCAACTGATTTACTTTTCTTTTCTTTTCTTTTCTTTTCTTTTCTTTCCTTTCCTTTTATTTTATTTTATTTTATTTTATTTTATTTTATTTTATTTGAGACAGGATCCTGCTGGAGTGCAGCAGTTTGATCTCGGCTCACTGCAGCATCTGCCTCCCAGGTTTAAGAGATTCTCATGCCTCAGGCCCCTGCGTAGCTGGGATTACAGGTGTGTGCCACCACACCCAGCTAATTTTTATATTTTTAGTAGAGACGAGGTTTCATCATGTTGGCCAGGCTGCTCTCAAACTTCTAACCTCAAGTGATCCACCCGCCTTGGCTTCCTAAAGTGCTGGGATTACAAGCGTGAGCCACCAACCCTGGCCAAGGCCAACTGATTTTCAACAAAGTTACCTTCATTCATTGGGAAAAGGACAATCTGTTTAATAAATGGATGATGGAAAAACTAGATATCCATATGCAAAAGAATAAAAATAGGCCCCAATATCTCACCATTTATAAAAATCAATTTTAAATGGATTAAAGACTTAAACATCATAACTGAAACTATGAAACTACTAGAAGAAAATATAAAGGAAACACTTTAAGACATTGGTCTGGGCAAAGATTTTATGAATAAGACTATAAAAGCCAGACAAAGAAACAAAAATAGACAAATGAAATTATATCAAACTAAAAAGGTTCCGCATAGCAAAGGAAACCTGCCAATAGAGTGAAGAGACAACCTATTGAAAGGGATAAAATATTTTTCCAACAAGGAATTTACCTCCAGAATATATAAAAAACTTAACAGTAGTAAAACAAATATTCCAATTTAAAAATTGGCAAATGGTCTGGGTGTGGTAGCTCACGCCTATAATCCCAGCACTTTGGGAGACCAAGGTGGGCAGATCATCTGAGGTCAGGAGTTCAAGAACATCCTGGCCAACACAGTGAAACCCCGTCTCTACTAACACTACAAAAACTAGCTGGGCATGGTGGCACGTGCCTGTAGTCCCAGCTACTCAGGAGGCTGAGGCAGGAGAATTGCTCGAACCCAGGAGGTGGAGATTGCAGTGAGCGAAGATCGTGCCACTGCACTCCAGCCTGGGCAACAGAGAGAGACTCTGTCTCAAAATAAATAAATAAATAAATAAAATAAAATAAAATAAAATAAAAATTGACAAATTATCTAAATACACATTTCTCAAAAAAAAGACATAAAAATGACTTACAATCATAGAAAAATGCTCAGCATCACTAATAATGAGGAAAATGCAAATCAAAACCACCAGGAGATATTATCTCACTTCAGTTAGGATGACTATTATTAAAAAGACAAAAAATAATAAGTGCTAGAGAGAATGCAGAGAAATGAGAACTCTTCTACACTATTGATGGGAAAGTATAGTATAGTATAGCCATATGGAAAACAGTATGAAGGCTCCTCAAAAAACTAAAAATAGAACCATCATATGATCCAGCAATACCATTACTAGGTATATATCCAAAGGAAAGGACATCAGTATGTCAAAGAGATATGTGGCTCTCTTGTTTATTGCACCACTATTCACAATAGTCAAGATATGGAATCAACATAAATGTCCATTAACAGATGAATCAATTTTTAAAATGTGGTGAATGTATGCAATGGAATACTATTCAGCCACCTAAAAGAGTGAAATCCTGTTATTCACAGCAACACGGATGAGCTTAGAGGACATTATGTTAAGTGAAATAAGTCAGGCACAGAAAGACACATACCTCATGTTCTCACTCATATATGGAAGCTAAAAGAGTTGATCTCATAAAAATAGAAGGTAAAATAGTGGTTACTAGAGGCTGGGAAGGATAATATGTAGGGAGGACAGGAAGGGCAGGTAGGGAGAGGTCAGTTCGCAGACACAAGAGGCCAGGTGTGGAGGCTCACGCCTGTAATCTCAGCACTTTGGGAGGCCAAGGCAGGTGGATCGCTTGAGGTCAGGAGTTCAAGATCAGTATGGCCAACATGATAAGATCCCGTCTCTACTAAAAATACAAAAATTAATAAGGTGTGGTGGTGCACACCTATATTCCAGCTACTTGGGAGGCTGAGGCAGGAGAACCACTTGAACCCGGGAGGCAGAGGTTGCAGTGAGCCAAGATGGAGCCACTGTACTGCAGCCTGGGTGACACATCAAAACTCTATCTCAAAAAAAAAAAACAAAAAAGGTCAAAAAAATCATAAGTTGAGCCATCATTAAGTCAGGGACCTTCACAAGTCTGTAGTTGTAAGCTCAGTACCTTTTTGTGGAAAATGAGCAACTTACTAAATCTTATGAAAGGGAATACATCCTCTATTCTACTATATCTAGTTTCCATCCTTGAAAACAAACAAACCAAAAAAGTAATACTCATTGGAAATAATAAAATGATAAAATGAACCTAAGGTATCCTTTTATGAAATTACCTGCTATAATAGTAAAAACAAAAACAAAACCTGGAAATAGCTTTAGCTACAATGAGAGAAAGTTGTTAAATAAATTACATTAATTTAGTAAGCTATCATGAAGTCATTAAAATAACTACGAGCACTACACAGAACCACAGTGCTGTGGTTTGAACATCTCCTCCAAAACTCACACTGAAATTTAATTGCCATTGTGACAATATTAAGACGTGGGACCTTTAAGAGGTGATTAGATCATGAGAGCTCTCCCCTTAGTAACAGATTGATGCCACTATCTCCGGCGCGGGTTAGTGACCTCAGGAGTGTGTTCCTGATCAAAGGATGAAATTCAGCACACATCCTTTCTATATCTTGCATGATCTCATGCCCTCCTACCCTTCCACCATACAATAACTCAATAAGAAGACCAGGCACGGTAGCTCATGCCTGTAATCCCAGCACTTTGTGAGGCCGAGGCGGGCAAATAACCTGAGGTCGGGAGTTCAAGACCAGCCTGACCAACATGGAGAAACCCCATCTCTACTAAAAATACAAAAAATTATCCAGGCATGGTGGCACATGCCTGTAATCCCAGCCACTCGGGAGGCTGAGGCAGGAGAATCACTTGAACCCGGGAGGCGGACGTTGCAGTGAGCCGAGATTGCACCATTGCACACCAGCCTAGGCAATAAGAGCAAAACTCCGTCTCAGAAAAAATAAAAAGAAAAGAGAATAACGCAGTAAGAAGGCCCTCGCCAGATGCCAGTACCATGATCTTGAACTTCTCTGCTTCCAGAATCATGAGCCAAATAAACTTGCATTGTTGATAAATTACCCCATCTGTGGAATTCTGTTATGCCAGCAGAAAATGGAAATAGATACATAGAAATATTTATGTTATATTAAATTAAAGAAGATAAAAATGGTATGGAGTCTAAGTACAACTATGTCAATTATTATATACATGGACATTGATAAAATGATAGTAAACAAAATGTTGAAAGGCTGTGTTATTTACCACTAAAAGGCAGTAAAATTCAAAGTACCTCATAGGATAAACAAAGGAAAAGATAAATTCATCTAGAAGACCTGCAAAATCTGGACCATACTTTTAGTAGCAAGGAATTGTAAGGTTTCCCTGTGCCTCTTTAACCCAGTGAGTAAATATAAAACCATCAAAACTACTTACCACAGTTTAAAATTTTAACCTGTGGCCTAGAAAAATATTTTCACTTTTTATGAAAACAATATTAACAACTTGGTTTCAACAAATTTATACATTTAAAAAATGAATGAACAATACTAATAACATGGATTGCGAAAGATAAAAGTAAAGTGTGTTCCTTATGCAAAGACACATCTTACTATTAGTAGATATATGTGAAATATTCTATTTTGGGAAAAATTAAGAAAAATATATTTTTAAAAATTTAGATCTTACCAAAGGATGAAGAAAAAAATTAAGAGAAAGAACTTTTGAAATACCTATTATGTTGACTCTTCCTGGTGCTCGAACATAAAACTTGGGAATAGATCCAAACTTGGAGTTAAACATCTCCTTTAGCTTCAGTAACCTGAAAATAAAAGTACAATATTTCAGATTATCATATAACAGAAAATCCATAACATACACACACACACACACTCACTCCATATGCCTGCCACCACTCATTATTCCTTAAAAGAATAAAAGCAAAATTTCCTAGTGACATACTTCCTTGAAAATCCCAAATGAACAATACTGTAATCTCTAAATGGCACAAAAGTATAGCTAAGTACACTGAAGAATTTAAAAGTTAAGATTGATATACCCAACAGAGAAAGCTACTTCCTTCCCTTTTGAAGAATCTAGTTTCTGTATACTTTTTTGGTGACATTCAGGGCAGAATCTCTTATATTAAAAGGTGCACCATGCGGTAGTATATTTAGTTTCCTAAGGCTGTCATAACAAAGAACTATAAACTGGATGACTTAACACAACAGAGATTTATAAGCACAATTCTGCAGCCAGAAGTCTGAAGTCAGAGGTCAGTAGTACCTCTGGAAGCTGTAGAGGAGAATCCTTTCTTCCCTGCCTCTTTCTATCTCCAGGTAGCAGCCATCAATCCTTGGTATTGCTTGGCTTTCAGCTTCATCACTCTTATCTCTGCCGTGTCACCACATGGCATTCTCTCTGTTTGTCCTTCTTGTAAGGACACCAGTCATATTGGATTAAAGTCCATCCACTCTAATTGAGTATGACCTCATCTTAATTGATTACATTTGCGAAGATGCTAGTCCAAATAAGGTCACATTCTGCAGTTTCAAGTAGATATGAATTTGGGGGGTTATACTGTCTAACTCAGAACATGTAGTAAAATAAAAACTAGACTGGACATCAGGAAACCACAGTTCTAATTCTAATGAGATCTCTAATTCAATGTCAAAGTTTGGCAAATCATTTTCTCCTGGCCTCTCTTTTCTAAAATTTGAGAATTTGAACTAGATATTCCTCATAGGTCCCTTCCAGACCCAAAATTCTTGTAATATATTTAATAACTCGATACTCTCAAATTATCTCAAGTCAATTCTGTGAATAGCCCTCATTATTTGTAGTCTCACATCGTATTGTATCTGGGTACTAACACCGGGATAACAAACATTTATTAAAGCCTAATATATTCAGGATATTAATTAATTAAGAAACAGAGACCCACACCCAAAAAAACTCAAGAAAATTTAATATAATAATATAAAAATATGTGGAATATTGTTGGAAGTTATTCAAGCTCATCTCTTGGGAATTGAATAGTCATCAGAAACTGTTTATATCAGTTTCTTTGGCTCTCTTCCTGCCTCATTCTCTTATAGCTCCAAAGACACCATTATAATTTCTCTCTGCTCAGTACTTTTTGCATTCTACCTGCCTCTGTGAACCTCTTAGTTTCTGCTCCTCCACACCTTCAGTTTTCATGGCACTGTGGCCTTGACTATACAAGACTTAACAGCTCCAGTGTCCTATACTAACTGATTACATTTCTGTGTCCTTTCGTTCAAATTCTCGAAAGATATAATCAGCTTGGCAGAGTTTAGGTCCTGTATCCATACAGGTCTAGACATCTGTGGCCAAAGGGTGAGGTCATTTAGTACAAATAAGGTCACTTGTTTTAGTTACAAATATGATCACTTGTGCTTACTCCTTCAGCAGAGGCTGTGGAAGAGAACAAAAGATCGCAGCAGGGAGACAATAACAGAATCTCTAACATATGACTCAAAATACATTTACTGAACTACCTGGTAGACGTGGCTGCCTAAATCTGAGTTTCTCTATATATCCTCAAAAAAGAAAACAAGAACAAATAAAAGTATACAAAAACTCTGTCTTCAGTATAACTAGAAGACAAAAATGCCAAACTTCAAGTTACCTATAACAGGGGGAAAAAAGAAGAGAGAAAAGAAGACCACAGTGAACTACTAGAAACAAAAATTGAGCAAAAAAGCCAGGCACCCTGGGTGTGCCTGTAGTTCCAGCTACTCTGGAGGCTAAGCCAGAAGGATCGCTTGAGCCTAGAAGTTCTGGGCTGTGGTGCACTACGCCGTCCAGGTGTCTGCACTAAGTTGAGCTTCAATATGGTGACCTGTGGGGGCCAAGGGATTACCAGGTTGCCTAAGGAGCAGTAAACCGACATAGGAGGGAAATGGAGCAGGTCAAAACTGCTGCACTGATCAATGGCAAGATCCTGTCTGCAAGTAGCCACTGCACTCTAGCCTGGGCAACATGAGACCTTGTCTTTGAAAAAAAAAAAAAAAAGGAAAGAATGAAAGAGAGGGAGGGAGGGAGGGAAGAAGGGAGGGACGGAGGAAGGAAGGGAGGGAGGGAGGGAGAGAGGGGGAGGGAGGGAAAATTGAGTAAAATAAAGAGAAAAGAAGGGAGCCACCAAAACTAAAATTAATCTAAAACCACTACCAGAAAGAAAAAGTCCACCTATTAAAAAACAGGAGGTGTGGGAAAGAAAAAGAGGAAAGTAGAATAAGCTCATTGATTACTAAATAGGCAAGAGGTAAAAGTTAAAAGATATAAAAAAAAAAACTGACAAAGCAATGATTTTTTTTAAAATTATAGTACAGACATATACAAGGATATTATTAAAGAAACAAAAGCATAGAAAGAACAGGTCCTGTACAGTCAGGTAGACCTGGGCTTAAAACTCTCCTCTACACATGATGAAATTCATTAATCTAATTCACCTTTAAACTGGATAGAAATATGTATCCCATAGATTTGTCGGGAAGATTAATAAGATCATTTGGAACAGTGTCCAGTCCAGCACTGGCATGAAGTATGTGTTTAATAAATGGTAGTTATGATTATATCTTAGTTCCTGGGTTCGATATCATTTCCACTCTGTAGCAGGTGAATAAGAAGACATCATAAGCAATGAGAGATGGTAGGTGTGTTTGTGTCAGGATAGGAAGCAATGTTAGTGCACTGGGTAATTTTAATGATGCTATTGACAAATCTTGGTGCTCTCTGCCCAGCTTCTTCTATTTTATAGAGAAGTTTGTTGAAGCAACTGAGGTTATTTGTCTGGATTTGAGATAGAATGACATAAAATTGGTGCCTTTCAACAACCACCACTGGAAAAAAATTAAAAACTGACGAAGAAGATAGTAGAAGTTAAATAAGAAAATAGTCCCCTGTTTTCTAAGGGTGTTTTAAAAATATAAGTACAAAGGTAACCAATAAAACAAAAATATAAATCTTCCTAAATACCATACAAATTTCAAAAATAAAGGAGAAGAGAAAAATATCTGGTAGATAGGAAAAACATAAAATGTACCATAGCATACAATTACAGGTTGAGCATCCCTAATTCAAAATTTCAAAATCCAAATCATTCCAAACTTTGAAGCTTTTTAAGCACAGCCATGACATCATAAGTGGAAAATTCCACACCTAAGTATTTAACACAAACTGTTTCATGAATAAAATTATTTTAAATATTGTATAAAACTACTTTCATGCTATATGAATAAGACGTATATGAAACAAATAAATTTCATATTTACATTTAGGTGCTATCTCCAAGATATCTCATTATGTATATGTAAATATTCCAAAATCCAATAAATCTGAAATCCGAAAAACTTCTAGTCTCAAGCATTTTGGACAAGGGATATTCAACCTGTATAAAATAGTACAACAACTGAAATCAAACATATTAATCACATTAATAAATGTGAATGAGCTTCAACTATTAAAACAAAAAGATTTGCAATTTTGCTCCTAAAACAGGATTGAATGTATTATGCTGTATACTAGACACATAACTAAAACAAGGTGATTCTGAAAGACTAAATATCAAGAATGGCCAAAGATATTATAGGCAAATGAAAACAATAAGAAAACAAGTAGTAATCCTGATCAAAATTGTAGAATTTAAGCTTACGCACTAAATGTACATAGAAGGATACCTTTCTTTAGAGAGAGAGATAGGGTCTCACTCTGTTGCCCAGGCTAAAGTGCAATGGGCAGTGGCATGATCATGGCTCACTGCAGCCTAGAACTCCTGGGCTCAGACAATCCTGCAGTCTCAGCCTCAGCAGAACTACAGAGTCATGCTGTCATGCCTAGTTAAAATATTTTTTAATTTTTTGTAGAGGCATAGTCTCACTATGTTGCCTAGGATGGTCTCAAACTTCTGGCTTCCAGTGATCCTCCTGTCTCAGCCTACGAGAAGGATATTTCTTAATGTTGAGAGCCACAAATCAAAATAAAGATATGGCAGTTAAGAAATATCCCAAATGAAACAGTAATCAGTTGTATAAGGCGAAACTACAAGGTAATTTAAGGAAATACAGGTAGAAATACATTAGCAATAAGAGATTATAAGACACCTTAGTACATCAAGGAGGCCAAATCACATAGAAAAGGCTCAATAAACTTGATAAAGTAAATTTTATGGATATATACATATATCAAACACTGTACCCTCATAATAGGCAATACAACTTCTCAAGAGTACATGGAACATTCACAAATACTGATCATATATTTGGTTACAATGAAACATTAGTAAATTCCATAAAGTAGAAATAATACAAACAACACTCAATGCAACAAAACTAGAAATTATTAACAAGAAAAATGACAAAACGTCCTCCTACCTGCAAATTTCTTAAGTGTCTTTTAAACAACTCTTGGGTGAAAGGGGAAATAAAGTGAAAGAATCTAAAAATAATAATAACATTAAAAGCTCTACTCATTAAAAATATATGGGATACATTTAAAGCAGTCAGAAAACTCCATAGTTCTAAACACTTTAGCAGTAAAAATGAAAAAATGATAATAAATTCTCATCTCCATAGGCTAGAAAATAAACAAAAAGAATGACACAAATAAGATAAGAACAGAAAGTAATGATATGGGGAGTAGAAAACAGCAGACCTAAGTTAATAAATTCAAAGCCTGGGTTTTTAGGAAAAAAGTTAACAAAATTCTATGTGTGGATCAAATTCACACATAACAAAGTCTTTAAACTGTTAAAATAAAAACTTCATTCTAGTTAAATTTAAAGGGGTTTAACTGAGCAAT